TAAGTACACGTTTACTTGGTCAACCTAAGTCTAATAATGTGGTAGAAAAAAACTTTAGGGCCTCCCACAAGCCAGGCAAGCACTTAGGGTGACCACTTTTGTGTCCTTGTTTCCGGTGTTGGGGCTGGGGATTTAGCTCAGCGGCATAAGCACCTGCCTTGCAAGCAGGCATTCGTGAGTTCGATTCCTGGTACCGATAAAAAGGAAAAAGACAAAAAAAAAAAAAAAAAGAAAAGAAAAGAAATAAAGCTTTGAGAAATTCCCTCCAACTGAGTAGAACCAATATACAAGTTGCTTCTAACCACAAGAAATGCAGTAAAGTTAACAGGCTGGGCGGGGCCTAACAATTATACGGACACAGCAGGAGCCCATTGGGCTTTTTTTTCCTCTTTTCTCTGCTGGTTTTGAAACAGGCTGCATGAACTTAAGAGTCACAAGGAAATGAATTCTGCCACACAATCTGAGGGAGTCTGGAAGTAAATCCTTTTCCAGCTGAGCCTGTAGGTAAAAATGCAGTCCTGGCCAATACCTCGACTAAAGTTTTGTTGAGAACACAAGCTAAACCATGATCTATGGAAACTAAGAAGTATCTTTTGCTTACACAACTAAAGTCACAGTTTGTCATAATTTGACAATGAGCAGCATAGAAAACCATGAGAACATAAGATACTACTGAACCCTTATTCACACAAAGGGCTATGTTTTCTCCAATTTCTAAACATAAACATTAAATCAAACTGAGTACATGGCAAAACTATTTAGACTAACATTTCAATTACAGAGTGCTCAGGAGTATTTATGTAATAAAGACTAGAAAGTATTCAGCTACATAAAGCAGTTCCTTATTTTAATCCACTTGCTTATATGCCCATATTTAAATATATTGTAAGTATATTAATACAATTTTCTTCATAAGCAAAGCTGTATAAGAAATATGAAAAAAATGTGTATTTAATTAAGGATATTGGTAGCCAGAAATAATCTACCTAATAGTCAGTAGGCAAAGCAATCAATTGGAAGAATGTGGGGGATTTGCTGGCAGGAGAGACACCATGACAGTAAAATAAGGGAGCTCTCTCTTGCAGGAACTACAGCAGCCCGCAACACATACAGGTACAGTACTTAGGGGAAGTCACTTTCAGAACTGATGGGGGCTGTGCTACTCACACCACTCCTCTGTCCAGCCCACCTAGATTATACTTTCAAAAAAACCTCAAAGCAGAAATTTCCATGATAAAGGCCACATTTTAGCATGCAACGTAAGTTATCCACTGTCATGTTTAAAGATAGATAAGATTACAGGCAAGAAACACTAACCACCAAAGTTCCTCTTCAGAGGTGGCAGGGATAGTAATTAAAAGTATCATTTTCCCTATGAAGAAGAAGCAGTCAGACATTACTCTTCTGCCATTCCCCATAAAAGCCTACAATTGAATAAAAGAACATTGAGGAATAGAAAGCATATTAATTACATATCTTAAACTCAAATATTTTGGCACATATTTTCCTAAGAAGCAATGATTGAGAATAGTTTAATAATCGTTAATTAATGATCCATACCATAAAACCTCACATCTGTGTTGAAAATTAAAGTAAGTCTTCCTAGAAATACAGATCATATTTAACATAGAGGTAAAAAGTAACCCACAGTTTCAATATAAGGAAAGAAGTTTTACAACTAACAAAAGGCACCTGAATTAAAACCAGACTACTGCCATACTCATAGGCAAACCAAACAAACTCAAAACAATTAGGCAGCCCAAAGTAGCAAGATCCTTCTGGTTGCTGTAATAATTTACTTTACATTTTAATTTCTAGTCATGGATACATTCCAGAAATCCACATAATTTCTCTGGAAATAGCCTCCATTCATTGGTGTATTTTCATTGTCTTAACTTCCCCATCCTGTTGCATTAATGAAGGCTATTTTACTATCTCATATTAACTGCTTCTATGAATATTAGCACTAAGTGGAAAAAATGTAGACACAAAACAAATTCAGGGATTTTAAATATTAGCCTACGCCACTAAAGACCTTTTTATTTTCTTGTCTTGATTTTTTTTTTGAAAAAGGATCTCACTAAGTTGTTCATGCGTGCCTCAAACTTATGGTGCTCCTTCTGCCTCAGTCTCCCAGGTGCTGGGATTATAAGAGTGCGCCAGCATTCCTGCCTCAAAGACCAATTTCAAACAAAGGTAATGGGCAATATTAGCAATAATCACGAAAGAGCATCTGTTCATATTAAGAATATTAAACTCACTAGTCTGGAAAGAGTAACAAAAACAACAGACCTATTTCATCTAAAAACTTCTGTATGAATTCTAATCTTAGTCTGGTCCAGAGACTCCATTCCATGAAATTTTCTGCACACTAGAATACCAGATTAGGCATCTCTCTTCCAGTTCTCTGAGACCTAAATAAGAATGCATACACCCAAAATATATATCCAAAATAAAGCAAGACATAAAACTACCACCAAAAAAAATCTTCTTCAATTTAGCAATTGTGATAGAATTACTAGTAAATCTACTTGTTAAATACTTACGATTAAAATTTTTTTTAAAATAGTACTAGGTTTTCATTTTTATGACTGCCTACAAGGAAAAGGTAATTTTGAATGTTCATCACCTTTTCTTATTGGAAACCACAATAAAACAATTCATTTTATAACATTTCAGTAAGAACTTTCTATTAATTTAGAAATACTTTTTCTCAATTTTCAAATGAAATGCTTATATATGCCCAAATATTTCTTTACTTTGTAACTTAATAAACACATTAACATTGTGACATACAACAAAAGTGAAGTTAATGTAAAATGTAAGCAAGTTTGATTTTTAAAATTATAAAGTTCATCATCCAGCTCCCTAAATCTCAAAATGATGAAAAGTATGTTTCTACTCTTCATGAACCCATCCACTGAAATACAGGTGAAAAATCTCATTAAAGCCATGCTGCTAACAGATGAGTTTTTACTTAAGTCTACTGCATCTCACTGGCTCAACAAGGATTTTAAGGTCCATGCACTCTGACCTGATCTCCTTAAGTACGGGTAATTTTTCTGATCCTCTTCCAGAAACCTTCCTCAACTAAGGTTTCTCCCATGACTCAGGAAAACATGGAAAACTGAATGAATGTTTTCGCAAATGTCCCAATAATATGTAACTAGAACTGTTCTAAATATTCAATAGAGAGAAAAAGTTAAATTCACTGGGGAATTTGGGAGCCTGAGGATATGCCCGCTCTCTGCTCCGCAGAGACTTACATATGCAAGAATGCCCCAAGTTTTCATTGTTACTCTCACTGTCCTGCTCCCAGTGTTCCTAATCCAACTGCACTAAGAACTGTGTGGCAAGTGCACAAAGCTAAGTGTTTAAGTTTTTTTTTTAAACTGCTTTACTTTCAATTTTCAGTAAGGAGGTCTTTTCCACTTCCTAATTTACTATGAGTAGCCTGGTTGTCAACTGTTTGCCCCCCTCCCCATCTGAATGGAATGCATTTACTTTAATAAAATAAACCTACAAATATACTCTTTGTCAAGAAAAACTATCAACTCTTGAAAAAAATGAACCAAACTACTTACACATGTATTAAATATTAACAATTTAACAAAGCTTTTCCTAGTCTTAGTCTCTACCAAGCTTTTATATAATCGTATCATTTGAAAATAACTAAATGCAAATTTTCACTTAAAAAAGTATTTCTTCAAAGTTTATTCTCGAATTAACCTCCAATTCTCTACAAACTGCTTTACAGCCATGTCAGCTGTGATCAAATCACAGGAAGGGCACTACTGGGTCACCATCTCAAAAACAAAAGCTTTTTAAAAGATGGTCCAATTTTAGGCACTCTCAATATTTTTATTTACATAGCAAAATGACTATAAACGAGTAATTAAACTAGATAAAATCAAATGTTATCCCACACTGAATGTTCAAAGTGGCACTAAAAAGATGAAGCAAATTAAACACCACATTCTTATATTTAAGTTATGCTACTGTGAATGGTGATGGAACATCAGAACAGATAAATTACACACCGATTTACCAACACCCGACTCAAAGTTCTTACATTCATAAGTGCCTGAGTAAATAAGGGGTTGGTGTTACACTGCTCTCGTGTTCTGCCGTGAATTAATATGAGACATCAAAGCAATGATATGGGAATGTTTATCTTCCATATGGAGAGAAAGTGGTCTACATTCAGCATGAAACACAGGGAGTTCATTTTCCTCACAGCAATTCACCCTCTTTCCTGTCCTACATTTTAAAAACATTTTGCTATTAAAAGTCTTTTTCGGCAGTGCCTTTCCCCAGCTCTACCTAAACTGCTCTTCAAAAGGACGTTGCCAATTACTGCACCTCGTGAGCAGTCATAATTTCCATAGTATCTCCTGAAGAAATTGTTTTCTGCTGCTTGAATGCTCCTGCTAAGCAGAACTGTCATTAACCGGTAGGTAAAGTAGCAGTTTACCGGGATTAAAAAATACTTCGATAACACAAGCATCCAACGAACGACCCTACACAAGGGAGGAGAGACTATTTACAAAGACTTGAGGACAGTCGCTTTGTATTAAAAGTCGGTTCAATGGAGAAAACTTCCTCCTTTTTCAAATACTTAAATGTCCATCTGACTTTTGGCCTTTTAAAACTGCTCACCTCTCACTCCCCAGATAGAACTACATTTAGCAACGGGTCTGTCCTGCTGACTTCCTGATACTGAAAACCACAACCACGAGGGCTGTTTCATTGGTTTGTTTTACAACAATGCTTGCTCCCTGCACCTCATCGAGAAATAAAGGTCTTTCCCTCCCGAGGACCCCGGCCCGGGGAGGGCGCTCGGGTGCGCGCCGGGAACCGTGGGGCCGCAGGGCTAAGCGCGACTCTCCGTCCCCTCCCTCTCCAGGGGCCCGGCGCACTGGGCTCAAGGAGAAAAGGCCGAGGGTGAGGATCCCCGGGGCAAGGAGCCAGCCAGGTGCCGCGCGGGGAGGGGGGCATACCTCCGAACATGTGAGGCGAGAGGTGCGCTGGGAGCGAGCCGATCACCAGACGCGGCCCGCCGGAGCCCCCGCCCGCCGGCCGGTCCCTGCTGCTGCCGCCGCCGCCGCCGCCGCCTCCGTCCTCGGGGCTGCTGTGCACGGAGTCCTGCGAGCCATACGGGCCGCTGCTGCTGTTGGGGATGCTGACACGGGTCCCCGAAGCCACGCTGCCTACGGCCCCGCCGAGCGAGCGACTGCGCGGGGCCGCCGGGGCCGCCGAGGCCGCCGCCGCGCCGCCCGAGGCGCCGGGCTGGGGCACGCTGGGCACCTGAGGCGGAAGCCTGGCCAAGGCCCGCGCCCCGCCGCTGCCCGCACTGCCCTCGCGCACTCCGCTGCTACCAGAAGGCAGGTCCGAGCCCGAGTACGCGCGGGTGCGGCCGTTAGCGGCGGCCGGGCCGCTTTGCTTGGCGCCCATGTCCTCCCTGCTGCGGGCCGGCCCGCAGGGCCCCCGCACGTCCGGGGCCGGCCCGGCGCGCTGTCCTCCTCCGGGCGAGGCGAGGGGCAGAGGAGCCTCGGCCGAGAGTGCCGCGCGCTGCGTCTGCGGGCGCCGGCTCAGGTGGCGGTTTCGGTTCTGGTGCGCCGCGACGGGCCGCTGCCGCTCTCTGCCGCCGCGCTCTGCACCGCCGGCCTCGGCACCGCCTCCTCCCGGGCGGCCGCAGCTACCGCCGCCATCCTCCGGCTCCCACGGCGGCTCGCGGGTGAGTGGGAGGTGCCCGCCCAGGCTCCGCGGGGGCCACCTTCCCTCCGCCCCCGGCCGCCCAGCTGTGATCAACAGAGAAAGAGGAAAAACGGGCGGCGCGTGAAGGGACAAGGAGGAGGGCGGGCGGGGAGGCGCGCGCTCTCAGAAACCGTCGCCCGCGGGGTCCGGGCCTAGAAGCTAGGGATGCCCACGGGGGGAGGGTCCTCGGCCTAAGCACCGGAAGGTCGAAAGGCAACACGGCCCAGGCTGTGGCCAGGCCCGAGTGTTTGGGTGGCGCGCGGTGGCCCGCCCCGCCCCCTCGCGCCTCCCTACGGATTGGCTCCCGCCTTCCTGGCCCCGCCTTCCCTGGCCGAGGCCTGCCCACAGGACTCCTCCTAGCCAAGGTAAGCTTTGTGGTAGGCGTTGGCACCCGGGGACTCGGTGATGGACAGGTCTTTGGCCACACCCTCTCGGCCATAGCGCGCCCCCATCGCCACAGAGAGACACAAGCGGATTGGAGAGAAGGAGCCCTGCGGACGCCAATCAGAAGGCGGCCCCTCCTCCCGCACGTGGCCTGCGGACGCAGGAGAGGAGCGCGTTTCTTTCACCTTTTCCTGACTGGGCTTCTGTCCTGTGTCCCAAGGCTTTAGGTTTAGGTGCGTGCCACCCTCGTTGATGTTGTTCCACACTTCCATTTAAAAAAAAAAAAAAATTCAGAAACACCAGTTCTGATGATGAAAGTAAGAGAACAGCGAAAACAAGAGATACCCAGGAGGCTGAAGCCCAACTGGCATAAACTAGGCTTACTCTTTTGAAAGACTCCTACTGTAGTAAGTCCAAAATGAAGAGACTGACAGTAAACCAGTTTGACCTTCAACAGTTCGGTAAAAACTATGGCGCTGAGCGCGGGGCTTGGTGGCGCTCATCTGTAATCCTAGCACTGGGGAGGCTGAGGCAGGAGAATTACCGCAAATTCAAGGCCAACCTGAACTACACAGCAAGCCCCTCTTTCAATAAAAACAACGTCTGAGATGCAGACAACTGGAACGGATTTGACACCTGGCATCTGGGCCTAAAAACAAACTAAATTACATATGTCAAGCAAGTTTATTTTACTTTTTTGGACTTTAGTTTTTTGGAGGGTTTTGTGTTGCTTTAACCTGGAATGCTCACATTAAATTCCTGTGACACCAGCAGCTTTAAAGTCCTGTAAATTTTCTAAAATGGAATTGAGGGCAGGCATGGTGGTGCATGCGTGTAATGCTTGCCTTAGGGTGGCTGAGGTAGGAGGATTGCCACAAATCCGAGGCCAGTCTGGGCTGCATAGTGAGTTCAAGCCCAGCCTGGACTGTGTAGTAAGACTGTTGTCTAACATAATGAATAAAACGGAATTTAGTAAAATCTTTGGCGTATAAGACTGTTGTCTAACATAATGAATAAAACGGAATTTAGTAAAATCTTTGGCGTATTCCTAGCTGTAACACATAGCCTAAGTCTAGATATCTAAAGGATAGCTCACTTTGATCCTTTCATTTTGAAAATGCATGTTGTGTCATCTACATGAAACAATAGCAAGGGGTTCTCCTATTTTTAAAAAAACTATCAATATACTTTTTTCACCATATTTGCAATGAGACATGTATGATCTTGTCACTCTTTGAAAAGGTATGCCAATCAGGCTTTTAAACAGAAATACATCCCAGTGTGGTGGTACAGGGGTGTATTCCCAGCTCCTCAGGAGACTGAGGCAGGAGTTGGAAGCCAGGCTAGGAAACAGGACAAGACACTGTCTTAAAACAGGAGCAGATGAATTTCCAAAAATTGGGAAAGAAAATGTCTGTCTGTCTGCCTCTCTCTCTCGCTTTCCCTCTCTCTCTCTCTTTCTCTCTCTCTCTCTCTCTCTCTCTCTCTATATATATATATATATATATATATATATGTACATATATATTCATTTAAAGCTTTGTAAGCACTGTGTTCACATATGTTCGCCATTTGGTAAAGTGTCTTTGAGACTCCCTTCCCCATCATCACAGGCCTTCAATGTTCCAGCTCAGTGCCATGTGACAACTCATCCTAGCACTGATTGTGTGGTTGTTAGACTTCAAAACAGTGAGCTCCATGGCGGTACCCAGTGCCCCACACATTGCCTGGCACACATGGCAGTGTGATAAATGTTCAATGAGTGACACATACATCATCACCAATTCTACCAAAATGATTCTTTTGAATTCACTCAAAAATTGACATGTTTTCATTGTCCTTAACATTGCCATGTTATGGGGGCCCCACCTATCTCCTCTCTGGGTGGACTTTTCACTTTTTTCCCTATAGGACTCTGGAGGTATAAAATCTTGTCCACCTCTATTCTTTCCTTGGCTTTGTTTCCTCTCTGCTCAGCCCTCTTGTCTCTCTCCAAATTGTAATCCCCATGAAAATGATAGTGTGTTTTATTGTCAACCAAACTGTCTGGCTTCACATAACATATGTAGCTTCTTTATTAGTCCCTGTTAAAAATTAAAAGGGTTATTTTGTCCAAATCAGCACATACAAGTAAATACTCCTATGTAGAACTGAAACAAGTTTCCCTTGGTGTACATTCCCTTTTCCAGTCTACTCCGATTTGCTTCCAAAAAATGCTGGTCATTGCCCACTGAATTGATTGCACAGCCCACTAATGGATTATAATCTGCAGTTTGACAAATGATGGTCTAAATCAGTGCTTTGCAAACTTTATTGCACGAAAGCCTCATCTGGTGACTTTGCTAGAGCAGGCTGATGATGTTGGTGCTTTCACTAAGTCTCAGGCCGATTTTGGAGAAGCCCTGCTCTAACTGATTCTTTCCTTTCTGCCCATGAGCAGAACTGTTGCTTTAATGTCTCAGTGACTCTTCAAGGACCTGAGCCCCAGCTCTTTAAAATTTCTAATATTTGAAGAATTTTCTTGGGTTTGTTTGTTTGTTTGTTTTGTTTGTAGTACTGGGAGTCTATCCAGAGCCTTGAACATGCTGGGCAAGCTTTATGGCCAGCCCTGAAACTTTTCACGGACTGTACTTTTCTTCCCTGTTATATAGTTAAATGATATTTTGATCATTTATGCTGAAGTATCTTGCTAGTCTTCAGTATCCTACTTTTTCACTCATTATAGTTTTTAAAAGATGGCCATAGTTTTGCCCTTTAGAAAAACAAACCAGGTATGGTGGCACATAGCTGTAATCACAACACTCCGGGAGGCTGAGGCAGGAAGATAATAAATTCAGGCCCAACCTGAGCAACTCAGTGATTTAAGAACTTGTATCAAAATAAAAAATGAAGGGACCGAAAATGTAGCTCTGTGCAAAGACCCTGAAATCAATCCCCAGTACTATAAGATAGACAAGCAGGAAATAAAGTATTCATACATTACCTGGTCTTCACCAAAATAGGACTACATATGTAATTATTTATCCTTAAAAAGAGATTTTCCCCTATTGTTATATTTAGAAAGAAATGAATGGACCATGTAAACATTATTTATTTTCATGGTGGGAATGGTGGCACACATCTATAATCTCAGCACTTGGGAGGCTGAGGCAGGAGAATTGCTATGAGTTTGAGGCTGGCCTAGACTACCTAGTGAGACCCTGTCTCAAACTACCCTTCCCCCAAAATTTATCTTCATAAATTCTACAAAAACATCACTCAAAATGTTAATGATTAGAAACATATCTTAAATTCTAAAACTAAAAGAGTATTTAGCAGTCGCATTCATATAATTTTTAAGATAACATCTGTAACTTATATAATGCCTTTAAGAAAAGTTTTTTCCCTTCCCTGTTCCTGCATTGGTTATCTAATGATCAGCAAGGGACAGGAGCCAATCATACAGAATTATAGACATACACCATGAAGTAGGTGAATTCAAGCCAGGGTTAGGCCCTGGCTGTGTCTGACACTGGCTGTGGGATTTGGAGCAAGCCACTTAACTTTGCAAAAATTATTTCCTGTGGAAAATGCACATGATCATAATTCCAGCCTCACAGAATGGCTAAGAGTCTCAAAAGCTCAGTCTTTAGTGGAGAGTACTTTGCAATTTGTTGATATACAAATATATTTTGATCTCAATCTTGTTAGCAGGGTGTAGTAATTTGCATCTTACCTGTAGCAGTTTGTGACAATGTACAGCTTAATATATGCTAATACTCTCTAGAACTGATTTTACTATTTTGTGTAATTTTAGTGCATTACTGACCCTCTAAGATTTATTTGTAATAATTATTTATAGTCATTTACTAAGTACGTCCATCACTGTAATAATAATGATGATAGCATGATAAGCCATGATGACAACTCTAGGTTTATTTTCTATTATAGGGTAGATGAATGTACTTGTAGAAAAGTTTGAGGAGAAAATATATCATTAGCTATTTAAAACGTCTAATATTAAAAGCTTTTATTTAAATTTCTCTTGATTTCTCAGGACAAATAATGTTTAACACAGATTCTAGAATTATTTCCATTTCTAGAAACAGTTGAGATATAATGTCAGCACTTGCTAATAAAAATAGCATAATTCTTGCTTATCAAAATAGTCCAGCGTATTAATAAGGATTAAATACTTATGTTCCATTCTCAATTCAGTTTGGCTTGCAAATAACATTTTAAAAATGTTTTCAAGCTCTTATTTTTAAAACCCTTAATACAAAACCATTCAATCCATGATATTTTTTCCTAAATCATAAAGAAAACTCAGAGTCCATAAACAGTGTTTTAAAAGGAATTTCAGATCTTTTTGGAGTACACTGTTAAAAAGACATAAAATTTAGTAGAAAGATGTATAATGGAGCCAGTACTAAAAGGATTTTTTTCCCAGCCTACAGAAGTGAAAAGTGACTTGGAGGAAAAAATAGCTCTCTGCTGCATAATGCATGTGGTCCCTCCTCCAATGAATACGCTCCCTCCTGTGGTCTCTTGTCACTTGCTTAAATCACTATGGTTATACATGAATGATTAACAAGTATAAGATGTTTTCCCTTACCACCTTCTCCCTTAAGAGTAGCCTAGAGCCCCACTGAAGACAGGCCTCAAATTTTAGGCCTGTATTGTGTAAGCCTCCAAGTACAGGAACTCTATTTCTACTTTATTTGTAAGCCCCCAAGGTGCCTGATTCTAAGGAAATCCAAGATAATCTGCTTGCAGGAGGCTTTCAGTTGACTGCTGCAGATCACGAGGAGCAGGTAGCAGTGACCAATGCATACCCTGGGTTACTACTGAC